GGCCGTGTCTTTCGAAAACAGCCCAGGACCCTAGATGTTTGCTCAAACAGTGGAAAGGAAAGCCAAAAGGGGACCGTTGCCTTTTTTTTGGGGGGGTCTCCATCTTTGGACACCCAAAATGAACACCGTGGAAACCTTGCAGAATGATGGCACATTTGCAAATGGGTTTGCATGGTTTTATCCATTGCAGCCCTTGATGAATCACAGGGCTTCTTGTCTCGCAATTCCTTTCTTCCGGGACACCCTCAAAAGTATTGCAAATTAAAAGGTCAAATTTCGCGTGTGTCCAAACGGGACACCCGTTCATATGGCTCATGCCCTTTCGGCTGTCTGCAAAAAAAAGTGGCCCTGAAGGGTCACAAACGCCCATCTACCGCCACAGGGTGCTTGAATGATGGCTCAATGCCATCTACATAGTGCGGACAAAACCTGGAATTCAAGTGAAATGAACAGTGCACTCTTCAAAAGGAACCCTTCGAACAAAGTGAATTTGGGAAAAGCCTCATCATTGAACCACTTTAAGGAACCCGGAAAGGCAAAGACGTAAAGGGCCCAAACGCACTTCCCCACTGCATTGGGTCATGGGCTTCCGCGCCATGCCCACGGGCGCCAGCACAGACTGCGGGGCCACCGTGTACCTGGGTGCCGCTCTCGGGGTCTGAAAGGGGCACACCAAACCACACACACATTTGGAAGGCAACTTCAATGTTGGTTTAGTTGGTTTAGGGTAGATATAGGGTGGATGTGTGGATGTCTCGGTGTCGCGTTGATTCGGGCGGGCTTCGGGTTACTTGAGGGCTCATTTATGTTGTGGCTTTAATTTAGGTTCAGGTGTATTTGATGGTCGATTTAAAGTGGGCTGATTTTTGGTGGGTCTGGAGATAATCTAGGCTGGGCTGTTTTTCGGATTTCAGTTGGTCTAGGGCAAGTAAGGGTTGATGTTGGCTGGGTTCAGGGTGGGTTTGGGGTCGAGTTCAAATCGGTGGATTAGGGTGGGTTTAGAGGTGCTTAGTGTGGAGTAGAATGATGGGTTTCTTGTTGGATTTGGATTAGTTTAGGGTTGGGTTAGATTTAGCTGGATTAGTTTAGGGTTGGGCTAGATTTAGCTTAGGGTTTCTTTAGTGTGTTTTTGGGGTGGGCTTATGGTTGGTCTTCGGCTAGTTGAGCATAATACCGGGTGGGTTTTGGGTGAGTTTAGGTGTGGTTTGTTTGGGTTTAGTGCGAGTCAGGACAAGTTGGCTTAGTGTTTGTTTAGGGTCAATTTGGGGTTGATGTAGGGCAGACATATGCCTGGTTCAGGGCGGGTTCAGGGTGGAGTTCGCGTGGTTTGATGGTTGGAGCAGGTTGGTTTTGAGTCAGACCTTATTAACCCCGGGGTTCCTTTCTGCGTTCCACTTGTTGGTCATATCCATTCAGCGCCCATTTCCTGCCCCACAGCACTAAACTGTCTCATCTGGTCTGATGCCTTAAGAGTTGTGGCCCAAGGAAACGGGTCCTTTAGGACGCATACCAGTCGGGTTGATGCAGCTTTGTGGCTCCCTCGGAAACACATCTCATGAACGTAATCTAAAGCAACCTAGTGAAGTGTTGCGGACCATTACCACAAGCTCCAAGTTGCCATGGCGAATCACAGCCGAAACTTGTCGCACCGATATCTGGCTGGAAGCTCTCTCACCTTACCCGGGGTGGCTGGAGAAAGCGGCGGGAGCAGAAAGATGGATCCACAAGTGGAACACCTTGAGGAGCCGCATCCCAATAACATATTCCAACAAAAGAGCAAACAAGCAAATCCTGTTTGAGTAGAAACAGGCAACGTACATTAAACACAAGCTTAAATCAAACAAACACTTTGGTATGTACTATTTCATCGTGGCTCCAAGCCCGTCCAGGGTGCGCCACAGCATCCAGAGGAGCGCTCACGACGCCCAGCGCCACACCCACCGCGTTGAGCCAGCCTGCCCGGTTTCCCAGTGTTCTAAAGCGATCCCTTGCCAAGGGGAAAAGTTGCGTTGGGGTCTGGGCCCCCCACATTGGATAGCCTCGACAAAACAAAAGCAGCCGAATGAAGCAGACTCAAGTTGAACTTTGGGTATGTCAAAGGCCAAGACAATGAATGAATGGCTGCCTGAATTTTTGAGGGAACCCTTTTTTGGGCTGATTTACAAGGGAAACTAAAGGACGAACAAGATATTTGGGGTCCCATGTTTATGAACCCGTCAATTAGGGACCTCTAGAATATACAAAGCCTTACAAGTTTGGTTCGAGAACACTGGCAGAAAACCAATATGGGAAGGTGGAAATTTTGCAATCCTGTCTGAAGCTGGCTCTGAATCGACACCAGGATCCCCAAAAGGGTCCTGTTAATTGGGTGCTGCTCACACCTTGCAACCAGTAAACATTGATCCTCAACCAACTGTTCAAGTCATAAACATGGACAGGGTCCAAACGCGTTTGACGTAAACTTCCCCAAGGCTCACTTACACCCAGGTCTGATTATGTTGAGAATCAATTTGAAAGTCTGGGCTACGCGCAATGGCAATAAGCAAACTTGGACAATTGCCCGGTTTTGACACATCTCCAACTCAAACCGCTGCCTCGTGGCAAGGAACATTAAGCCTTGAAAGAATTATACTCCACATCAGCAAATGAGGGGTGAATACGCTCAAGCCACTGTTGCTTACCCTCTAGCCCGAAAACTAGGCAACCGACTTGCCGCTGATGGCAGGCGCGAAAGCAGCCTTTTCGAAGCCGGAATCAGCCCGTGCAGCAGTGGCAGAAACTCAACATGTGGTAGTTGCGCGCACTCACCAAAGCCCCGTGAGTTTTCAGTGATTCTGGCATTGCTGCATTTCGCCCAGGCGAAGTTTGGTATTGTCGAAAGGTTGCAAAGCGACAAACAAGTTTGACATCAAGAGCCCCTCATGCTGCAGTGCCTAGAGCCTTTTTGTTCTCATTTGTGCATGGGGGTTCAACTTCAACGAAAGTCGTTGAACGCATGGATTGTCATGTCTGCAAAGAGGTTTCACTTCAAAGAAACATCATAGGCCGTGTTAAATTGCAGGTGTGCAATGTCTTGAAATAGAAGTCAATGAGATCCATGGCATGTACAGGGGCCTTGAGGAGGCCGGTTTGGCAAAAAGCAAGAAAACAATACAAGGCAACGAGATGCATAGCAAGGGCAAGCACAACCAACAAAACAACGGGAAGCAATTAAACCCCGGGGGGAAAAACACCAACAGGGTTTCAGCAAGGGGCCACACACCTCATGTTTTTGGCAAAGAAAGCAACCAGCTTCTCAGGTTTTCAGGTTTCTCAAACCCGGAAACTACCATTTGCTTACGGAGCCCTGGAAACAATACAACATTTCCAATAGTGCTAGATTGCCTTTAACACCAACAGGGCAACAAAAAAAACACATATTGTTACACAAATGGAAGGACAACGGCCCCCAACCCACACGCCGCCCGCCGCCCAGACGCCCAGGCGGTTCCGCGCTTCCCTCCCCCCGCGCGGAAGCCTTGGGGCCGCTCCGGGCGCTGGGCGAAGCGCTGGAGGTTCTCCGCCATGGAGCTGGTGATGGCGCGGAGGATCATCAGCACCAGGCCATGCCACAGCGCCATGGCCAACCCACGCGAACCCAGGCAGAAGGAGGGACCGAATTATGGGTCCGTGTTTATGTTTTTCTTTTTTGCAGGGGAGAAGACCTATGGTGGAAACCTGTGGGTGCGGTTTTTATTGTTTTATGTTTTTTCCGGCAAGCTAATTAATTCTTTGGGGTAGGTTTCGCCTGTAGACTTTGCCAGTGGAGGGTTTGAAGGCTTGGGTGTCACTCGCATGGGTTGGGTTCAATTCGGCCAAGGCCCAATGGCCCAAATGTCACAGCTTCTTTGAACTCACCAACCTGGACTTAAACAATTCATCGTGTTTCCGGAGATCCCTGAAAGTGGCGGGCTTTTCCTTTACACCCCATGAGGCTGTCGTTTCACCTGTCGACAATTGTTCACTGGCCGAGTGCCTTTGAAAGGCTATGTCTCTCCGAATGGTTGACTTGAAGACCTGAAGAAACACAAACCAACGACGTGAGCGATCCAACTTTGAGGGCTGCAGTGATTCTGCATGAACGATACTGCACCCACACCAACTTAAGGGTCCCCATAATTTGAGCCTTCGTGGCTGGCGAATCGACCATCATTTGCCCAACATGAATCATCCAGAGGTCAACGCGTAGATCACGATAACGGATGGTGGCACGGGTTGACTTGTCTGGCTGGAGGATCGACACACCAAAGAATTGTCTGATTCGGGTTTGTGCTCAACATGTGTCTTGTCCTTGTGGCTTTCGGGATTTATTACAGTATCATTGTAAGACACATTTCATCTTGTTTGGCAGCTAACAACATAATAATACGCTGGGCCGCATGCAACCGTTGGATGCAACAACCTCCCTACCTTGTATTTAGGGGGTTGATGTTGTATGCAAGCAATTTGCATTGTACCTGAGGTCGGGGGATTGTAACCAGCTCTGTGGGGGTTGGTTGTACCTAGGTCTGGGCAGTTGTTTTACCCAGGGCCTCAACGGTGCTGTTGATGGTTCGGATGGTTGCACCCGAGATCTCAAGGATATTCAAAGCGATGCCGGTATGTGCCCGTACTGTACACACGGCACTGGCAGCAAACCGGTAGGCCACCTCGTTCTTCAAGCGGCCTCTCTGCCAAGTCTAGCCGCTATGCATTCTGAGCAGGCACGGCTGAAGCTTCACAAGCATCTCATACTTGAAGCTTCAAAAACTTTGACCGGTTGCCCCAACCCCGTATGATTTCAGGTCAAAAGCTTGCAGATTCAGGCGCAGGGCCTGAGTTCGCGGGCGCCTTGACCCTGTTTTGCACCCGACCTTTGGGTTGGTTCTTCAGCTAAAAGGAAGCCAAGCAAATTTGTCCCCCCCCCCCCCCCAATGTTCGAACCACCGTGCTGTCCCTCATGCAGCTCCCAAGGCCCTGGCAAGTGCCGCCATTGCCTGGGCATGGGGAGTTGTTCTTTGAACCGGACAGCTCTAATCTTGACGGATTACTAAACCCTGATCAACCATAGGGGTCCATTTTAGTGCGGACGAATCCACCAAGGTGGATGAATCCGGGCCCCTATCTATGTCCAATTGTCCAATCGTAGGGTGTTCCCAAGATTCTTCGCCTAATGAAGTCACAGGACACCTAGGACTCCAGACTCAAACGATTTCCGTTTCGTGGGAGCGCGAGTTTGCAGTTTCTGCGACGCCACAACGGCAAATGAACCTTACAACTCCCGGCCATGCGTTCTTTTGGCGCCTCGTTCGGAAGAAACTTGACTTACACTTGCTGAATGCATTTCCAAGACAGTTTTTATATGAGTCCAAGTGGAAAACAATAATCCCCTACAAACAACTTCAGCTGGGTGCCCGAATTCTGTCCCCAGCTGTCCACAATATTTATTCACACTCCGAATCACAGTGCCATATTTGACTGGTTTAGGAATACCGATTCGCCTCCAATTTCCTTCGATCATGGAGCCCGGTGCCCAAAAACCAAATATAGGGGTCGCGAGACCCCCCAAAAACATGGCATCTTAGACTACAGGGCTCAGGGTAGAAGGATCTCAGACACAGGAACGAAGCACAGCAGAACTTGTTCCAACAGATCTGCCTGGTCAGACCATGGATCGCTCGTGTCGAGGCTCGGCTGAGTACGCATCAATCTCTCAGAAAAGGCATGCTAACAGTTTTAGACGGCCTAACGCGCAAATCTTGGACTGCACATGCCGTGGTCAAACGCCTTGTGTGGGCAATGGTCACGGCTCCCTCAACAGGAGTCCGTGCTTTGCTTGTCACAAGTCCTTACTTCAGACTCCACAACCATTCCGCACCCCAAGTTAGAGGGTCTTTTGCCATGGCACACATGTTGAATCTTCGGAGGATTAACTAGGCTGCAAACCATTCAGGATCATTGATGCGGCAGAAATGGTTTGGGTTGAAGCTTGTTAGCGTCCGAATCAACCATGTGTGTAACTTCCCTAAGGGCGGCGCGCTCTCTCGCGCGACACTCCCGTGCAACGGGCAGCTGACAGGATTGCCTTGCTA